AGCGAAACAAAACTGGAAAACCATATGTAATAGAAGGCATATCGCATAATTTTTATTCATTTAAATTGTCATATGAATATTTAAGCTGCATCCGAAATTTTATAATTAAACAACACGAACAGAATTTAGGATGTAAAAGTTGAGGAAATCAGATAATTTACGCATGGTAATAATGAATTAAAGTACGCGTGACAAATTAAATTATATAAATATAAATATTATAAAATGACCATACAGATTATAAAGGGAATACAGGGAATAAAGTCTTTTTTCTGTAATGGCTATATATAAGAATGATGACATTTAAAGAACCACCGCTTCATATGCTTCACAGAGTTTTTACACCTAATCGCTGATGCTCTCTAGCGAGATTCAATGCTCCAAGAGCATACGAATCATTTCTCTGACCATTGCCCGCCATCTTCACGTTTCTCCTATCCCTAGAGAAATTTCCATGAAATATTGCGCTCAGTCACGTAACGTGAATTGCGACCGTGGAATTTCCGATTCACTTGCCTTGTGTTCGCGCATTTGCCCCTGAATTTCCACTTACATGCACCCGCTCTATCTGGAAGATCATGATTGAAAAATCTGAAAAAATCAAATAATATCTCGAAGAGAAAGATCTTCGCAAGCATCTCATCGTTATACGAAATATGTATCTATTTCGATATACATACACTTAATATGTGTCTCATGCGTGCTGTACGTGCATCGCGCGTATGAAATGCATTTTTAAAAGTACTTTCGCTAAACGTACCCTGATCTCGCATAAATGTAATACATAATTCTATAAGGGAGACATATGGCAGAAATTTTGCAAATTTCCGTTTCTTCCGTGCCGTATAAATTCTCGACGCGTTAAAATGCATGCCGCCGTTCGGGCGGAACGACGTCTTTGGAAGAACATCTCGAAGTAATTTTTCTTTCCAACAGCGAGTCCCGGCGAAATGGTTCCAGCGAAGCTGGTTGCGGAAAGATCGAGAGTCTTCGATTGTTTTTTTAGAATTTTTTTGAGTTCACCCGCAGAGTAGCAGAGAAAGAGAAAGAGAGACAAAGCGAGAGAGAGAGAGAGAGAGAGAGAGAGAGAAAGAGAGAGTCCGTGCGCCGCCGCCGTGCAATTTCAAACGTTACGATGTCCCCGGGGAAGCGAAGCTACAAAGTAATTTTTCCCTCGTCTCTCTCTCTCGCTCGCTCGCAGAATATTCCCGGTGAAACTTAAAAGTGCCGCGAAACCCAGTTTGCCTCGCATGACCCCTTTTGAAGCTTGCCTATGTAGTTCAAGCACTTGAATAACGAATGTAACGATGTTTCCTGTCCGTAACGTACGACGTTCTATGTCGTTGTGCGTGGATACTATAATACTCGCGTAAACTGAACCACGCGCTTGATATCGTATCGTGCGTTCGCAATTGTCCCGAAAAATTCATGGATATCAGTGCGCGTTTGGAGAGCCAAAGCTCCCTTTTATGCCAAAATGGCTATTAGAATTCGGATCGCGACTTAAATCGGCACGTCGCTTTTTTATGGCCAAACGGCGTCGATCGCCAAATTGACGCGTTAATTATGAAACGAGCAATATCGCAGCTCCACGTACGAGCACGGAATATCGAATCGTCCACCCAATTTAACCCTTTGCGGCCGCTCATTCGGTGAGCCAGATAGGATCAAATTATCCATTCATTACGAAATAGCGGAAAATGTGCAAACTTTTAAAATAACTTTTATTATCAAAATATTAATCGAGCAGAAATAATTACGATAAATAATAGGTAATGCTTTTTTAACTTCGGTCGTAAAATTAACAGATATATTTATCTATTGATACAGCAAAGTAACAAAAGTCATCTAAAGCAACAAAATGCTATTTTCCCTGACGTAATATTTAGTGATTTGTGCCCTCATACACAGCGATAAATGAGACTAGTTGACCTAGTAAATAATCCCATAGATTGAATCTTCAAAAACATCGATGCACGCATCCACTGAGCACATTCAACGGATGGCACGCCTCGACTATAATCTTTTAATACGGTCTTTTATTACAGTTGACATTTGGATGCAAGCCAGTTTAAGACTTTCCCTCTGCCATTCCTGCCTCTTTTCCCAGCCTCCTTCTGCACTTCCGCTTCCATATTCAAGGATATTAACGGTAGACTACAGACTTGCATGCAGAATGTATTTTCTAGATTTTAATGAAACTGCAGTTGTCGCGAGTGCTGATGCTGAATGCAAAATTTAGATGATGGCAATTTCTCTTGAATAGCTCTCAGCGATAAATATTCCAGTGAGCCGTACAGTTTTGCATTCACATTATCGTATATACTATCGTATACTATGATCTCTTTAAAAGCCTGCCATATTATTGTAAAAAATATACACTTCTGGAAAAAGTAAAGTAATCTGAAATTCTTTAAATAATTTAAATAATCCTAAAAAATTCTCTGTATATTCTTATCTTGTCTACATACTTTGAAGCGTATTGGAATCAACGATTTAATCTGACTAGTGAGAATTGGATGAAATTGGATGAAATTATTTATATGAATTACTCGTCCGTCTCCCTCCGTAGAAGGAGACGGATCACGCGTAAAATTATGAAAATTTATTTCAAAGGCGGATGAAACCAATATCGACTCGTGGTTATGGTAAAAGCTATAAGCGTGACACGTGCGACGGTGCGACGAATGTAACGTTACTATTCAGCAACTGAATAGATTCGGTTCAATATCAATCGTCCATAGAAGTGAACGATCGTATAATCGTCGTTCGAACTAACGGGTAGGGTTTCAACAATATCGTTCATGGCACTAAATCACTTTCTATTCATTAATCATCAGGCGGTGGGTTACGTCATAGTGGATTTATATCTCATTTCGGCATTTTGCTTGCTCCATTAAATTCGCGGGGAACGAAAATAAAAATCTCTTATTTTGATAATTACATTATATTACTTTATACGGAGAATCGATTGACATTTAAACGAATTTTTATATCACGCAAAATTGAAATTTTGGAACTATCTTTCTGTAAAAAGAAAGAAACACTTTTTAATAATAAAAAATTTGGTTTTTTTTTTGTAATAAACTATTCTTTATAATCTGCATATAAATTTTCAATCTATCTAGAAGTTATATTATTGTTCAGCAAAACAAGAATAAAAATTTCATTTTAATTTATTGTTTTATAAAGAATTCCTAATAATTATCGTTTTTGAGAATAATATTATCTATGCTTAATTGCAACCTATCTAATAACATCGCGAAACATTACGAAAATATACGGTGTGATGAACCGTAAATTCCGTAATGATTATTGCCAACTAAAGTTAGCTTCGCGCAAATATTTCCGTAAGACCGCCGGAAGTTCAAACAACGCCGAGGCTCTCTCAGAGCCTGGCTGGCGCAGAAAGCGACGTGTATGGCCAGCCGAGTATGAACAGACCGCATTCCCGCGGTCAACGAGTAGTGCGGGTCGTCGTTTGGTCGGGCAGTGGATACAGTTAAACGACATTGCTCAGCACTCAAGTAATTCTCGTTCTTTTGTACACGGCTAGCACCGAGCTGAGCTAATCCCTCTTGTACACGAATCTCTCGACTCTCGCAGCTGATATTTTCCGATGCGATTGAACCTTTTATGTATGTACCTTTTGATTCATGCCATTCGATCTCGTTGGCGTAAAACTCAAAGATACAAAAGCAGAAATGCGCAAAGAAGCTTTATACGTTTGTTAAAAAAATGACGAATTTCATTTAACTCAACGATTATTTTATCAGAAATTAACGTTGTAATACTTGGGCAGCAGATTAAAAATACAAATCCTTGACGTAAATAATGCATGATAAATAAGCTTCTTCCATAATCAATCATCGTTGAGAAGAAAAAAACCATCAATCACGCTTCCAAAGAATTTACTCTGAAGCGAGCGTGTTTCTCCTTTCGCTCAACAATCTCGTAAACAGAATAATGTACGGAACAAAGGGATATGCTTCATCTACAATCTACATTACTCTTTCATATAATCATATAACGTATGGGAAGGCACCGCAGGTTCGTCCCTACGGATTACTCGCGGCGAAAATTAAACCCCGGCCATCGTGTACGATTTTCCTCCATATTTGCAAGCTACCTTGGCTGGCAAAGGAGAGAGCCTTGGAAAGTGAGCAGCGAGAGCTTTTGATGCCTCGCTCGAGAAATAATTCACTGTTTCGTTCCCTGAATTTCAAATCCCGGCGACAAGCAAACATCCACCGACATCGCTCGGATGAGCAGGGCTTAATAATTTAGAATCTCTATCAAAGCCGCGTGTCTCTTTCTCAAAAATATCACTCGTTTTCCGAGGTCATCGACTTCAAAGGGTACAAGATGCGGAAACAACGGGCGAGCTGTGTAGACGATTGTTGCTATCTCCTTCCCATGTTGTTCCCCTTTCGGTCTATCTTCATTACACGAGATAATCCCGCGGGAACAATACGTTATTCTCGTATGCTGTGCTAAATATACATGTATCAAAAAAACTTTTACGGCGTGGTATTAAATCGTTTTGTGCCATCACTAAAGTCATTCGTTTTTCCGCTCAGCAATTTATCTAACAAATTGCCAAGAAATAGCCTCTTTGACTCTGATAATAGGTATACAACACCCACACTCGAACAAAAACTTATTTTTTACACAATACTCAAAGTATTGTGGATGCTGCGTAATAATTTAGAAAATAATAACAATCCAATACTTATAATACAGTATATTTATAATATACTTTGTCATAACCATTTAATAACTAATTAGCATTATATTGTCATATTTTCTAATTAGCAATTGTACCTCTAATTAATTACATTCTAATTAATGTTTAAAATTTACATACATTTTGCTTATCAATGAAGAAAATTTGTCCATATTTTATATTCAATTTTTATACAAATGATTAGCTATCCCCTTTATCTTTTAAACACAATCAAAACATGGAAGTTTACCTATTGCATTATCTGCTGTTGCAGAGTGGCGGTCAGAGTGGTGTATGGACAGTAAGCGTGATTATACTGTCGATTGGCACCTGGGTGGGCAGAGTCGGGCCACGTCCAGCGGATGGGGAGCTCGCGCTCCTGACGTCGCCGCGTGAGCGATTGGAAACCGTTCGACAGGTTCTTTCTGAGGTGCCTTTGATCGACGGCCACAATGACCTACCGTGGAACATCCGCAATTTCCTCCATAACCAGTTGGCGGAATTCGATTTCGACAGGGATCTGCGTCAAGTCGCGCCCTGGAGCAAGAGCGCGTGGAGTCAGACCGATCTGGTTAGACTGCGGCAGGGCATGGTCGGCGGTCAGGTAATTGCAAGATACTACACCCTACACAGTCGTGTATTTAAAAAAAATTTCAAAATAAATTAATAAAATAATAAAATAATTAAATTTAGTCTTAAAATATATATCCTTCGATAGATGAACGTTTGGAATCAATATTATTCAAACACAACTTAGAATATAATATCACCAAATCTTTATCTGTAATTATTATAATCAAAATTTATTATTAAGTTTCTTATATATTTAATGTAAAATGTATCACAAGAAACGCGTTCAAGAAGCAACTTGTTATTATTTGTTATTATGCAATGTAATAAGCAATCTAAGCTCGGATGTTTCGCGGAAACTATACTAGAGATGACTAGGCGAGTTTCAGGTGTCGGCGATATTATGAGCGTGACGGATTGAATGCATCGATTATCATCGCATGCGAGCACTCAGGAGCTCGTTAGGTCTGAATGATGCGAGCATTAAGCGCGTATCATGCTTGCACGCACACATATATTGTATAGAAATGATAGTGATCTAAGGGGAAATAGTCGTTGTGTGCTAAGGATAATAAACAAAGCTATAAAATAATATCGTTGAATCTTTTTACTTATCTTGCTAGTAAAATTTAAAATAAAATTGCACATGAAAACTTGATATATTTAGCATAATATAGTTTTAATAAAATGCAACAATTACGCGAGGAGTTGTGCGAGAAAGGAATTTAAAAGAAAAAGCAATTTTTTTAACGCAAACAACATTGTAAAGGATGCAAAAAACTGCATTCTTCTCTTGTAAAGTGAAGAAATTGCATAACTGCGGATAGAAATTACATTCTTTTGCACATTTCTAACATCCATAATATAGAGATATTTTCTTCATTTTAATTAATCCATGATTTTTTTAATATAAATGTAAATTGAAACGTATATTTTAATAAAAAACCATATTTTCTTAAAAAAATAAAATATTTTTCTATGCTTCATCTCCTGTATTTTTTCGGGATTATTTCGCCGTATACAATTCTTTCCGACAATTATATACAACGATTATTTCTTTTTCTAGTTTTGGGCCGCTTACGTGCCATGCGAATCTCAGTATCTTAACGCGGTCCAGCTGACTCTGGAACAGGTGGACCTGATTAAGAGGCTCATAGAAAAATACTCCCAGCACATGCAGTTCGCTGCATCGTCGAGAGGTAAGTACAGCTCGCCGTAATGCAAAACGTAGAATGTTCGAAAATAAAATGTGCCGCGATCGACAAAGCGACAGCTTTATTCAACTGCATATTTCTGACTTCTAGAGATTTTGGAGGCTCACGGGAGGGGCAGAATTGCTTCCCTGATTGGAGTGGAGGGTGGGCATAGTCTAGGAAGTAGTTTAGCCGTTTTAAGAACACTTTACCAGCTAGGTGTACGGTACCTTACACTGACACACACCTGCAACACTCCGTGGGCGAAAAGTTCGTCGGTGGAAGACGACGATGAAGATGGTAAATTAGATGCAAGTTTGGAATAAACATCTTCTTCAGAATGAGCAGAGCTGAAACTTGCGAACTTGATCTCATACAGATTCATGGATCTGCAGTTAAGAAATTAAACTAGAGTAAACATTTAAAATAAATAAAATATCTCTGTTCATATTTTTTCCTGATATTTTTTGTAAATGATATATATATCAATATTGTATTAAACGCGTTAAATTCTATTATATTGAATTAATTTAATACAATATAATAGAATTTAACATGTTATTTAATACCATATGGTATTGAAACGTATATTACCTGTATAACATATATCGATATATCTCTATTTCTCTTTGACATAGAATTTATCGTAATATTTCGCTAATTAAATCAAAGATTATGACTATAAAGATTTAATAAATTAAATAATAGATGGTACACTAACTGTTATGTATTAATATTGTTTGACAAACTTAAAAGATATACATCGCAATCTTTTTAATATAGATCCATAAAAGCAGAAATAACATCAATGTATCTTTCAGGCGGAGGTCTGACGACATTCGGTGAGATGGTAGTTAAAGAAATGAATAGACTCGGAATGCTGATAGACCTCAGCCACACTGCGAGGGCAACTATGAGGGATGCTCTAAGAATCAGTAAAGCGCCACTCATTTTTTCACACTCTTCTGCGTTCGCTATTTGTAATTCCTCCAGAAATGTGCCCGACGATATTCTTAAGCAACTGGTAAGTATACGGAAATTTCTATAGTCTGTAAAATACATATTCAACATTGTTAAATATTTTTCGTTAATTGCTTGAAGATAAAAAAAGAAACATTTATTTTAATCACAATATAATTTTCAAGAGCTTCCACACAAACAAAATTATATAAAAATTATTTTACGACGTTTTTTCTGTACAAAACATTTCTTGCAATAATTACAATCAGGATAATTATATAAGATTAACCAGTGCGAGTTAAACGACTTACTTGCGACAAAATTCGCGCTGTGTAAGTGCGAAAATAGACAATTGGCGATACGAAAGAGCAACACGATATGTGTCGAAGATAAAAATCCTTTTCTTTTTCTCTATCTGCCTTCACAGATCTTCTTTCAGCGAGCAGATAATTATCCTGGGGCGGCGCGCGGCGGCCAGAGTTCCAATAGTGGCTCGAAACATTTACCGGCGGCGATTCCTTTCTATTGTCGAGTTTTGTGCTCCATTAAGGAGCGCTCGGTTCACTTGAGCTCGTTAAGAGGCGAATTATCAAGGTCGAAAATTAACGGCACCGAGTCGACGGTGAATGCGGTACCGCGATAACGAGGTCTCCCTTCCGGCGCTCGTCGATTCTATCGATCCCTCTGTCGCCCCGGGGGTTGTACGTTTCGTTTTCGAAGCAAAGGCACGGGCTACGGCTAGGGTACAGTTTTCTCTCCCGTGCGCAAGCGGAAAATTACGTGTTACACCTCTCATTGAGCTGGCTTGAAATTCCCGGCGCGACGGTGCGAGGCACGTTCAAATCGCACAACTATAGAATTACGCGCTCCATTCTCACGTGCTTGTTTCCAGGCTGATAACGGCGGACTGGTGATGGTCACGTTTTACAATTATTTCGTGAAATGCGGACCTCAAGCCAGCGTCTCGGACGTGGCCGAGCACATATATTACATTAGAAACCTGATTGGCGTGGACCATATCGGAGTTGGCGGAGATTTCGACGGCATCAACAAGTACGTTAGAGACGAGATAAGGTCGAATGTGGAATTAATTGATAATATCTTTGAAAATATGTGATGTAGAGAACTATGCCTTGATCCTCATGTAATTTGCATGCGCGATATTGCTTCAGTAATAACTTAAGCTGAAATTCAATTATCACAAACTCTACAACAGCAACTATCGCAGAAGAGTTGATCCTTTATTTTCGCAGATTAATTTTCAGTAAATTATTTCGTATAATTTTCTTCGCAAAAGAAAATACAAATAATAATAAATAGAAAATAAAAATCGCGTTTCTAATTACGTGCGAAACCTCTTCCTCTCTTCGTAGAACTCCTCGTGGTCTCGAAGATGTTTCAAAGTATCCCGAACTATTCGCCGAACTTCTCCGGAGTGGCAAGTGGAACGTGCTTGACCTAAAGAAAGTCGCCGGCTTGAATTTACTGCGAGTCCTCAAACAGGTTAGAGTCGATTAAGGTCCCGAGGTGCGGTTGTACGTACATAAACCTTACGGCGCTCCGGGTCTTAATGCCACCATATTTCTATCGTAGCAATACATATTGCCAGTCTCGCTATGTTAGTTAACTGCAGTGCGCATCTACAGCTTCCCTCAGTCATATTGATAAATCACCGTCCTTAAATATTTAACAGACGATGAAAAGTGATGATAACAAATTTTCATTACGCGATGATCATTATTATTATTTTGTTCACAATTCACAAGCTTATATGCAATCCATATAAGCATATAGTAATCTATCATAGAAAAAATGGGACAAAAGAATATTATTAAAACATTTTCCTAAGCTCATAAATAGCATAATAATTTCATATCGCAATATTAATATTTTCTACGATGACATTAATGTTATTACGATGGCATTAATATTAATATTATTACATCAGGTAGAACGTGTGAGGGACGACCTGAGGACAGCTGGAATTACGCCGCTCGAGGATCTACCAGACTCGCCGGACACGATCGGCAATTGTGCTCTGGATATTAACTCCGTGCAAAGGGTCACGGAAGTCTGATCGATCGACTGTACGCACTGCCCCGACGACATGCGAATTAATCTTATGCCAGCACGACCGTTCCGCGCAGATGGGCATGGCCGGAAGATCACCAGTTATGCCGAGAACGCGGATTCAAGGCGAAAATTCGATTATCTCGTTCACTATGACTCGTACGCTCGCGAGAGTTCTTCGAACCTCGTGTAAAAGCTCAATTAAACGTCGACATTTGCGAAGGCTCAAAATAAACCTACCTCGATACCTGTTTCACAAAGGCGACGGGCAGCGGATATCGATTATGTTTTATTTAAAGAAAGGTATATTCGCGCGTTATATTAAGATGTAATCTGAAATTATGTATTGTCAATAATCAATCATGAAAATATTAAATATTTAACATAAACTATGGTTATCTTTTATATTTAAAAAAATTAAACGTTAACAATAACAAAAAATTTATTTTAAAATAATTATTTTCTAATACGATACTTTACGATACTTTTCTGGCTTCTTTAGCCATATATAACGACTTCATTTAAAATTACAAATTACAAGTTATAACATTTAATTGCAGAATAATCTGTTCGTCGCCATTCATTACCCATAATACACAAACAGACTTTTCTACTTGATAAAATTTCTAGCGAATCGTTAACAAGCTGGTCATTACTTTAAGATCTCTACTATCTTGCTGCAAATATCTTCACGATCATGTAAATATCTAAACGATAAGTGATGCGCCATCCAGTATTTGCGTGAAGATAAAACGTCGATGCACGAGATTGTTTCTAAACTTCGATGTCTTCCTCTCTTGGAAACGATCGTAATATGTGTGTGAAACTGTGAATCCCGGCTGTATACCTTTGAACGTCTTCCTTCCCCTCATTGCACCGACGAAAACACACGTGCTCTACAAAGCGGAAGTCTGTAAGAAGAAAAGAATCGTCGTTCCTACGAGCAACATACATGACGCTAATAATTAACAAAATTCTGAAATCTCTCCTACATACATTTGTAGACATTTTTTAAATTTATTATAGCTTAAGTCCAAAACCTTCCAGTTGATAATAATTATAATGTTTCAAAAGATTTATATTTTTACACGGAAAAAAATTAAATGGTATCATCATTATGAAATGTTTTATTGTTTAATTTTTATTTCTAAACTATGTACCTATGATCCCATAATTGGATTTCAGAGTTAATACGTAAAAGCTATTTTTTACATTTAAAGATTTCTTATAATTGCTTTATTACTTTAAAAACGTAATTTAAAACATATATGATGTATGTATAATCAATGAATACAATAACTTAAGATATCAACATACTAACATTAGTTTTTCAACAATTATCTAAAAATTATGCTATCAAAAACTCTTAAACTTAATTCTATAAATAGTCAAAATTGCCGATAAAAGAATTATCTATCTCCGGACTTTCCAGTGTCAAAACTCAAACTTACACATATCAAAGTGAAATGTTAAAATTACTCATATTTTATACAGCAAAAGCCATTCTAGTTTTGCACAAATTTTTCACGATAAAGCTCGGAGTTACGGAGTCCATGAGAATATTAAATCGAGAGTCGCGTACAATCCGAATATGTTGCTCGCAGGTGCCGATGAGGACATAGTTGATGACGGACGTACGTGTTTTTCGACGCATTATATGCCGGGCTGCAATCTATCGTTAAAACGCACTCGGCAGTTTCCTTGATCAAAGCATCATCTAAAGTCTAAAGACGGGACATTTAAAATTGCCTGGAATAATCGGTCGAAATTGTAGACGAGATCACTTTTGCGACAGTTTATTCCTCTGGTAATTTTTATATATCGCCGTCCACCTATCTGTGTCTCGTGTGCACTTATTATATAATTCGCGCAGGATGAAACCCTCGATCAGAACACTGTGTGAGAATCGAGTCGACGACTCGGACAAGAAATTAATCAGTTTGCGCGAATTATGCCTCACTCCGCCGTTGGGAGTAGGTGATAAATTCTAGGATATCAAAAGTTTCGTTGTATCTCTCGAACGAATTCTATAAATAAATGTTTCTATTGTAACCTTGCTATATTTCTCCCTCTCCAATACATACATTAGTCTTTGTTTAATAACGTATATTTAATGTAAAACATCTGCTTTTAATAATTTAATAATTTTCTACCTTGGGTAACTTAATTGGCACTTACTTTTAACATTTTACGCATTGAGAAAAAAATTGTCTGCATTTTAGTAAATATTAGTCTGCATACAACCGCGACTCTATTTACTAAAATGAAAGAAAATTTTCCTTTTTATTAGTATATTTTTTCTTAGTGAATACACATATACTAATAAAAAGGAAAATTTTCTTCATTTTAGTAAATGGAGTCGCTGTTGTATGCAGACTAATACTTACTAAAATGCAGAAAAATTTTTTTTTAATGCGTGATTTAAAAATCATGTTATTTATACTTATACTTATTCGAAAAAAATACATGGCTTATTATACCGACAAGTTACATCAAAATCTAATGAAAGGTATGCAAGAATTATGCAAAATAAACTTAACTTTATTATCCAGTGCGATATTCTTATACAAACGATGTATCATACATAGCTTCTTAATCGTAACATGTAATAATTACATAAGGGAATGATCGTCAGTGATAATGTAAAAGACAATGATATTATTTTACAAAGTGTAAATAGATGGGCACTAATCGTTAATATGGCTAAAACTTACATCTAATATCGAAATGGAGAAAATGTTATTTACAGAAGATTCACAAGGTACATGATTTATGTTGACTGACATTTCAACACATCAGAGACGATCTCAGCCACTGTAAAAAAAATCCGCGATTTAATAGAATTTTTAATGACTTACGGTACGTAAAAGTAAGAGCAAATATCTTGATACGATTTTTACGTACCTCTGACAAGCTTAATTTTATCGTTCCATTTTGCAAAGGGTCCTTGCTCTCAAATATACCTAAGTAAATGTGAAACACTCAATTAATACGAAATATTTAAGAACATATAAATCAGATTATACAAGATAATCGAGAACCTCAGAATAAACGTACCAAATGCATCGCTCAAATGTAGGATCGCCGAGACAAAGTCGCCGAATCGAAGAGTACCGTCTTTCCTCATGTATCGAAGAATTAAAATGGATAATACGTCCGTATTCAATTGGAAACCTGAGATAGAAGTTATGATTACTCAATGATGAGATAAAATGTTTGAGCACTATATTACATTTTCTTCTTACGTACCAACTTCCAGCAGAGCATCTCGCAGTCTTTCCGCCTTAAGTATACCCGTCTTTTCCTTCGTATGATTCTTAAAAGCGGCTTGCCAGTACTTTAAACTGCACATAAGATCTTTGAAGTCATTGAATTTCAACCGGCCACTCCCAGAACTCTGTTTAGAGAGACGCAAGAAATGTAAGGAAAGTATTTTATCATATATTCCGTTATTCTACGAAAGAAAAATGATTTTATTAAATTATTTCATCATATACCCCATTAGTCAAATAAAGAAAATAAAACAAACAATTTTACTTAAAATTCTAATTAAATATCGATGTGTACTGTTAATTAAATGAATTATTTACACATGAAGCTATACAAACAGTTATCAAATAAAAGCCTATAGATAGACCACAAATTTATAGCGGTCGAAAAAATATTAGAACATGATTTTTATTGAAAGGATACGTCCATAGTGAGCACTACTTGTCGGCAGACTTCCATGCACGCACAGCTTTTGATGTAATCTAGAAATTAAAGAAAAAACATTTATTTAGATCAACATTACATAATATTTTAGTGCATTTAACTTTTAGCAAGATTTTCTGTATATTTTATGATGGAGAAGCACGTCGTACCATTCGGTAAACAGGCTTCTAAAAGCTCCTGCAACTCGAAGGCGTTTACGGTTCTGTGTTCGTCGGCGAGCTGCAGAAACACGGCTTCGTATTGAGAAAAGCCTTTTCCTTCGAGAGGAGGTGCTTTAACAATTGCTGATTTCATTAACGACGGCGGGGTATCTAACAACCTGAAACAAATGGTATACATGTAGAAAACGGTTTTCTTATCCACTCCCTCTTTCATTCCAGAACACAATATCTTAATGTGTAATAATCCGAAAGCGTAAAATTTTACGTATTTTAAATTTCAGACAAAGCACTTTTAATAATAAAATAATATATTACAAACACGCGCAAAAAAGAACAAAAGATGGATCAACAAAAGTACAAAGGTAGCAAATCATTTCGTCGAAAAACAACTTTCAACGTATTGCGTTTTCCTTAACAAAGGAGTGTGTGCTTGGAAGAGGCAATTACTTGATGCATCTTTTGAAATATGGTCGAGAGAGGATTTTAAAACTATAGTTGAAGGCGGGCATACGACATATCCTCACATGAGCTAATGTATGCTGCACATTAAATGCACCGAGGCGGCCGTACGATCCTTTATGCCGCCTCGTGCGAACGTATATGACATCGGTAAATGCAATATACCTACTTGAGCTTTAGAGGCTTACTGCTGTAGACCCGTAATGTGAAACTCGTTTCTTGAGTCGGCTCGAAGGTCGTAGGTACCAGCAGGTAACCACCCTGCTCGAGCTGACACCTGTGGCTCACCTGCCGACTATTCGTGTACTGGGAATTAACTAAGGACTTGTTCTTCTTGAAAAACTGTTTGTTTATCGATTCGGTACTGTTCTTCGGCAGCGTGTACGCCGTGAAGCCGATCACCTTAGGACAGAGCGAAAGTTCGATAAGCCAATTTGATAAGAGACACGTTGGACGCGCGATATTCTGGAAAGGCTTCTTTACCTTCGGCTCCATGATTGAATGCTGGTTCAATGAAACGATTACTTCTTCCATCTCGCTTAGAATCAGATGTAACTGTGGATTTATATGAAAAGTTTCTGTACCGAGAAAAAAATACAGTCGTTAGTTAATTATTTATATAACTTGGTTGGATTAAATAATACAAAATAGTTCGAATCAACTGTTTACTGTCGCTTTTTAATGACTACAATTAATAATGTTAGTTATAATAACGTAACATTAGTACTAGCGATAATATGCAAACTTGTGAGTGACGTAGTAATCGAACCTTGATTATTTCGACATCCTCCTGCAGTGACGCCTCTCCTCCAGCTGCCTTGGTATAACTTCATTTGCCAAGTGTGCTTACTGTGTAACGACGGTTCATCTCTCGAAGTTTCAGCATCCAGATGCACAACTTCCAGATGAGTAAACGTCTTAACGAAATCTGAGTATGATATCCTGCAAACAGTAACAATACATAGTTGGGGCATTACATAACTTCAGCGAAGTTTGGAAGTTTAACTTACATATTCATTGCGGAAACTATTCAACAACATCTAATCCAATATATTTGTAACTTAAATTATTCAGTGAATGAATAACACAAATTTTTTTTCTCATTCTGTCTAGTTTAATAAATTTTTTGATGTTATGTCAGTTGTTGTTGCGATTCATTAGAAATTATTCTTTTCGTTGTCCTCTTTTGTGTACTTACCAAAATTCTCCTTCAGCCATATTTCTTACAGCTAGCCGTTCCCTTTCCATTGCTGGCACTTCATCCCACTCGAGCCCACCTCTCGCCCAGGCACCGACATATTCCCCACCGGGCCCAAGAGGATTCCTTAATTTTACTAATTGCACTGCTTCTCCTCCAAAAGTTTCCACCTATAACACCCAGATCATATCATTCTTTCAAATTTCTTTAATTATTACTCTCGTTGTTCTTATGATTTATACATATACGTGTAAAAATGTCGAATGCGACTGATATACTGACCCTCTCAATTGCATACAATCTATAATTGATTCCCATTTGTATGCCATTAGCAAGCTTTTCTGTACTGGCACGTATCTAAGGTAGAAAACACGCAAGTGAGCAAAGTGTTCTGAAGAATTTGAGCTCTACTGCTTTGAAATATTCTGTACCTGTTGCTGTTGATTATTATTTACTGTACAAGTAATAAGAGACGTCATGTCCAGAAGTTTCGACAACGCTCGTCCACAAGCTGTGGGGTCCTGACGAATCGCGATGCTTTCGGTAATACCACCCGTGAGATCAGACAAACCATCCAGCAATGTACCATATTTGAGTGCCTCGTAAGAACCATGAAGTCTGAAAATAACAACATTCATATTATTTTATATTTATATACGCATAAGATAATATTTTTTTACTTAACAATTACGACATATTATCCTTCCAATAATAATCAATAAAAATGTAATGTTAAGAGTTCAAGAAACATCAAACATTTTGAGTAAAATGTGCGTAAATATAGTTAAATATATATATAAATATTACTTAATAAACTCTATATATAAATAAAAATGACATAATAAAATGTCATAATAAATAACGCAACATAATATTTAATGGCAACAATCCGTTATCAAAATTTCAGACTTAATTCTGTATCTTCACGCATGCTACTTAGACCACCTACGACATAGGTGGAGTAATAAATGACTGAGCATACAAATAAATACGTAGAAAAAAATAATTATGAATCTCGAAGTGACGAATGAGTTAATAAACGAATGAGTGCATTAATCATAATAAAATTGCCATCGCTCATCAGCCACGATTTATCGTGACGGCAAAGATCGATCGGTGATTTCTCACACTATTGTATTGGTACCATGCGCGCGTGTAGTGGTATGGACTTTCTTAATCGCTGGGTACTTAGGCCGGATGAGGGAAAGCGGATGGTTCGGATTCTTTTCCCCTTACGACCTCTCAGCGCTGACATTATATTATATACTATACGCCATTATAAACTACGCAAGAACCGCTTTCATCGAATCAATCCGCGAAGAATCGATGTCTAAATACGGCAAAATTAAATGTTTGTTATTACATATAAGGAAATTCATAATATTTTCATGCCACTATTATATAAGCATTTCTGTTCAAGTTAATATAATTTAATGTCTTAAGTATATGACAGTATTTTATAATTAATGGCATCTGTGTCCGAGAATAGTAATAACTTATATACACAATCAAACATAAAG